TCACCTTTTTGCCTTAAATGACCTTCGTTGACCTTCAAAGACCTTAATATTTCACATCATTGGATTCGTCTCGATAGCCGCTATCAGAAAATAAGTACCAAAACATAGCATTCTATCTACAAAAACAAAGTTGACCTTCAAATCTCTGAAGCGACTCCACCTAGCAACAAAAAACTAACTTCATATAACAGCCCCCGTTGTCCCATGCAACTTTTGTTTCGAAAACTTTTCTACTGCTATCATACTTTCGGAGTTATTCTAGGTGGCAATAGTTAGTGCCTCACCCTGTATACAGGGTATCCCTGAAATCATAAAAATCATAAGCTCATTCTATTAAATGACTTTATTCGTCGTATTCTAGGTCAATATACAAAAATGGTAATTATTTGATATCAAGTGGAGTTTATTCATTACATTTTAATATGACCAATTATGTCTTTGTTTATTCCGTAACTGTATGTAGTAAGTGTTGTATAGATTACTTATATACACTTATATTCACTGTACATACATATTTATTTCTTGCTTTCTTCTTGTTATTGATCATGTTACACTATTCTATCAACTAATGTATGTATACTTGATAGAGTGGCATATTTGTGCACCATTAAATTAGTGTTTTTATTAAGGATTTTACTCTATTAGAAATAAAGTAAAATCGATAAAAAACTTTGTACCGTTTTCTTAATTTTATTCTACTCTGAACATTCGGGTATGATGTAGAGGCATAGAATAAGGCTTGTTACATACTGTGAAATAACATATATTTATTGTATATATACTATATTGAAGATATGATGCAAAAAGTCCATATAACCAAGAATATATTATAATATAGAGTGGATAAAAGAAAGTATTTGTACACTCATATATTTTATAACAAGTACACGTAACAATACAAGGAGAATACACTGACAAGCAACACATTACTTGATTGCTCACTACAACTAAAAATAACGTAATGCAATAAAAATTTTAACGACACACTGTAGAAACACACACAATTTCTTCAAAAAAACAGGATACACTTAAATGCTCCATTCACCCATTGTAAATAATCATATTTCGCGCACTTAATAATTATATAAACTACAACAAACCAAAGCTATATTAAAAAAGACAGTCCACGTTTCCTCCAAAAAAAACGACACTTATTTTCACCAAGAACAAAGCAAGGCAGTCAGGGTGTCAGAGTTCTATAGACATCATCCCGTAACACGCTTCAAATTTTATGTCACTTAATCTCTTCTTCACTTCACACTGTGTATACTTGAAGCTTAGGACGCAAACACTGGCACAAACCCGATTTCTGGGCCAGCCAGGCTTAGTCGGCGTCCTCCGCAAATTCAATTATCGCAAGATCTTGCTGAACGTAGCCGAGTCTGTGCGAGTGGGATGAACGGTAGTTCACCGGCGGGGTTAGATGATAGACAGAGACCTCAGTAGAGAGGATCCGCGATAAGTCAGACACGCGTTTTACGACGTGGATTAAACCCCCGCTGCCCCCAACCGGCTTGTTGCTCGTTGAAAAATGTCGCTGTCGCTTTTTGGTCCGGAGACGGAAACTAACGTTTTAATACCGGTCATTAATATATTCCCACTGAAACGATGCATACCACCTGCGTTTTCCTGTTACACGGAAATATTCGGGTTATCCGTTGGCACTTGAAATTACGACTGGAATATTCGACTAAACTGCTGAATAAACTTTTTACTATGAACTTGTTGGATCCTCCAGTGCACTTTCGTTTGAAATAACTTCTGTTTGGGGCAATTGTTGATTATTTATATAGTAGTGTTTTTTTGGGTAAATATGAGAATCAACACTGGTGTCTTTAAGTATGAGATGTTTTAAAAAAGAGACTTTAAGTGCAAATGTTAGAAAGAAGTATTGTATAATATTGAAATATTGTTAATTCTCGGATGTACATATATTGAGATGCGTTCAGGAAAATAATTGTAAATTTACTACTACCGTCCTGGATAATGTAATATTATTTCTCAGGGATCAGTAAAGTCTATATTTTTAAGTAAAAGAAAGTAGGTATTTATCAGAGTGTTAATATGTTTTGTAAGTGATGTTAATTTCTGATATTCTATTTGTTCATGTGTATGGAACAATATTTTTTTTATTATTTCTAAGCTTATTATTACAAGTAAGTATTGGTAATACGTTAATTAGATTACCCACTGGATTATTATACAATAAAGACGCAATAATATGCAATAAACTGTAATAATATCTTTAAAACAATAAGTGTAATTGTATAGAAATTTAAGATATTCTATGATACCATTAATTTAAAATGCAAAGTGCTATATTGATTAGTTAAATCATATTTTTCGCTCACTATAGAGAATAGGTTCTTTCCTTTCTATTTTATGTAAGTACAATTATTTTAACCGAAGAGTTCACGCAGTTTCTAATTAGAACGTAACAATTAGTGACTTTTTCATATCAATTATTATGCTGTTGCAGTACAGAGCAAAATGCAATAGTATATTAATCCTGTAACTAACGATAAATACTTTTATGATGTTCTCTTTTCATAAACGATTGTTTATTGATGGTCGAACAAAGGACACGTATCGCTATCGGACCATCGATAAATTATTATGCAGAACGGCGCTATTGTATGACACGGGTATTCCAACATTTATTCAAATCTGATAAAATACTGAGCCCATAAACTAAAACCATACCAACTACGTGATCCTGTAGATAGGTACGTATTACCTCGGCAGGAATTTAATCTCTTATAACAATAGGCAAATTCATCGAATAGGTAATTCGCGTATCGTTCCACGTGTGTGACTTCAGAAATAAATTAAATACGCAGAAATTATGGCAAAAATTCGTATTAATATTTATTCTATTTGACTTCGTTCTAGAGCTGCCGCCATTATTGTATCTCAATACGAATTGGATCGGTAAAAAAAGGAGGAAACGATAAAATAATAAAGTATCAATAGTACAAATAATATAATACAATACTATGTAAATAACGAAGTTACAAATGTGAATGAAACCAGAGACAAAAAAATATGCTGGCTGAATTTCGTATATGCAATCAACAATAATTACAAACACTGGCATTCACTACCATTGATATGAATTTAATTATGTTTCACTTGCAACCAAAATTTACTCTGTTCCAAATAATTATAGAAAGAAACGTGTTACGAGCCCGGGCCGTAGCAACGCGAGAGGCCGGCGAGTTTAGGTTTTCCAAGGAATATGATATCAGTTTATTAGTAAGGTGCGCGGACGAATCTGACGTGAAGCCAGAGAGCCGCTAGGATGTTTGAAAACGAGGACGAACCTGATGCGAAATCAGGGAGCCGCAGGAAGGTGAAATTCGTGAACGAACCTGATGCGAAATAGGGGAGTCACTAGGATGTGATTTTGTAGACGAACTCAGCGCGTAACTGAGGAGCTGCGAGGAGGGTGGAAAATCGGTACAGGCGAACCTGATGCGACATCAGGGAGCTGTTAGGATGCGGACGAACTTGATGCGAAATCAGGGAGCCGCAAGATTGGTCAAGTTTCGTGGACGAATCCGATGCGAAATCGGAGAGTCACTGGGTTGGAAATACTCTCGGATGAATATAATGCACGGACGAACCTCATGCGAAATCAGGGAGCCGTTAGGAAATGTTAGTTAGTGCCTCGTAACCTTTGAATTTATAATTAATATAACTCGAGCGGTGAAGTTGTATTAGTGTGGGAACGGTCGACCTGATATTATTCTAAACTAGAGGAAACTAGTATATCGATAATACTACGGATTTCTGGATCGTGTTATGGATTCAAAATGAACTACACAGATTTATAAAATAACAGTATAATTAATCAGTCTTTGGTTACAAATGTGTTGTGTAGTGTTGTCGTATAGTAGTAAGTAATAATGAAATAATAACTGTTACCGAAATAAATAGGTGCTCGGTATTAACGCACTGGCGAGTGGATTTTACGGAATAATGCCAAAGTAATAATCCTAGCTGGAATACAAATAAAGTGGTCACGGTTTACTACAAGGTTAACTGGATTCGAAAGGGAACTTTAGCCCGATCTCACTAACGTAATGACCAACTCACAAGAACGTGACGCGACGTGACTCTAAACGCGGTACAGTTCTGATCCCCCGAGGGTTGAAATCAACGGGTTTATATAGGCCTAGAAATTGGTGGGGATGCCATGAAATTTCCAGATAAGGAAATTTTTGACGGTTGAAGTTGCATCACGCTTCCTAGTTTTTTGGTTACCACGCCGTGGGAACGGGTATTATCCCTTGCTTACTCAAGAGGTAACGAAACTGTAAGGGCGTTTTTCTTTGCTGGATGCGAGCTCAGACTATTAGAGCGAGAGGTATGATAGAAAATTCTTCATACGTAACAAACGTAACAAATATACATTGGATAAATTCGCATCCTTTCTCTACAAGACTAACCACTAGTTTTGTTTTCATGAAAGAAATTATGATCCTCCAATTATTTTCAGGAGTTTGGGGCTTTCACGGCCTGGCATTATACAGTTCTCATTGTTGAGGCTTTCGGGTGTAAGCCGTGTCCTTGTGGAATTGTTTTCCCAACGTTTCGCAAGCATTGCAGCTAGCTTCATCAGGGGGTCGAAGATACACTGATACTGGTGTGTGTCTTGTGGTGCTCCTCTCATATATTGGAGCTTGGTCACGTTCCGGTTCATTGCTTACCAATCAAAATCGCAATTTAATTGGTCAGCTGAACAATTAAAAAACCGGGAGGAGGGAGCTCCAGATTGGGTTTAGGTGGTGTCCTGTATCCCTATTGATGTTATTAGGGTGTTTTTGTGTTTCCAACGTTTCCCGGTATTTCCTGGGAAAGTATCCTTTGGTCTTTGCTATTACTTTAGTTTCGTTGAAAAGTATTTTGTGTCCTGTTGTCTTCTGGTGTTCTGCAACAGCTGATTGAATGTAGCCCAATCTGGTGCATCGCTCGTGTTCCTTTCGCCAATGTATACTTTACCGCATGAGCAAAGTATTTTGTAATCCGCCGATGAAAGAAAGCTGCGGTTGCGGGTCTTTGGAGGAGGTGAGCATCTGCTTGGTTTTGGTATGGGTCGTAAAAATGGTTTTAATGTTGTGTTTCCTAAGTATTTTGATTATGCGGTCGGTAGTGCCTTGTATATATGGCAGGAATGTGGTGTTCTGTTTGTCGTTATTGTTGAAGGTGAACTGTCTATCATTTGGATGCATGATTCTGTCTATTGTGCGATTTATTTTACTTATGGAGAAACCGTTCTGTTGCAAGGTGTTTCTAATATGGTTAAGTTCCTGAGGTAGGTGTTCTTTTTCACTAATGCTGATGACTCGATATATTAAGGAACTGATCACTGAGTTCCTTCGGGCTGGGTGATGATGAGAGGAGGCGTGTATGTATCTATTGGTACGAATGGGTTTTCGATATACTTGATGTCCTAGGGATCCATCCGGTTTCCGTGTTACTAATACGTCGAGGAAAAGTATAGTATGTTCTTCGGTTTTGGTTTCCATAGTGAATTGTATCTTAGGGTGTAGAGAGTTGATGTAGTTGAAAATGTCATCAAAAGTATTTTTGCCATGACTCCATACTACGAATGTATCATCTACATATCTGAACCATTGTGATGGTTTTAATGGAGCTTCTTTGAGGATTCGATCATCTAGATGTTCTATGTAGATATGAGCTACGATAGGGGAGATGGCTGATCCCATGGCTGCTCCTGATACTTGTTCGTGGTAGGTGTCCTGGAAGAGGAAGTATGTGGAAGTGAGGCAGTGATGGACAAGAGGTATAAGGTTGTCAGGTATTTTGTCCTTGAGGATGTTTATATTGTCGTTGAAGGGAACGTTTGTAAATAAGGATTTAACGTCAAAGCTGACCAGGATGTCTCCTGGTTGGGTTCGGATGTTCCATATTTGTTGGATAAAATAGGTTGAGTTTAGAATGGGCTGTTAGTATTACCGGTAAGGGGTGTGAGGATAGATGTGAGGTATTTTGCCAGGTTGTAAGTAGGAAATCCGATGGTGCTGACTATGGGTCTTAGTGGAATGTCAAGTTTGTATATTTTGGGGAGTCCGTACAGTCTATGGTCTGTTTTTCGAAAGATGATGCCTGGGAGGTTGGCCTACCTCAGCGCGTGGCCTGGCGGGGATCCAACGCGAGCTACGTATTTCGTGCGACGTTGTGACGGTCTCAATCCCACTGTGTGTCTCTTTCCATCTTCCGGCACTTCGGCACGCGAGCCTCTCGCTCAGACGCTCGGTAAACCAACTTTCTTCTTTACCCTGCGATTTCCACGTGTAGCGTTTAATAACCTGCGTGTTAATTTAATCTCCTTTTAATATGTTGCTCAATATTTGGGTACAATACATTTTTTTAAAAAAAATAAACTTTTTCTTATTCATGTATTTTAACTTTTGACGTGTGAAAACGTTCAGCGTCTCGTCAACATTCTCCGCCATTTCCAGACAATGGATGATTGACGGCCACGTGCCGAACGCAGTCCCCACTCCTTGAGATTGTAGGTAGGTCCTTCTCGAGAGGTTTGTAATACGTATGATAGAGACAGAGACCGTAGGCGGAGGACTCATGTCGACGGTCGGACGTCGTTGGCCAAGACGCGAAGAATGAAAGAGACAGACGACCGTAGGCGAGGACTCACGTCGACGGTCGCACGTCATTGGCCAAGATGCGAGGAGTGAGAGAGACACAAGTACCGTAGGTGTCTCGCGATCACGGCAACACCTCGAAAACTCGGGCCTACCTCCCAGGCATCATCTTTCGAAAAACAGACCATAGGTACCCCTGGTTCTTTGGGCAGGATTGTCTTCTGTATGTGGGCGGGTAGTTTGGCCCGTTTTATCGTAGTCGTTGTCTTTCTTGCTATTGTGTTTGTGGAATCCTTGGATATTTTTCTGTACGTCTCGTCGTTGAGTAACTTTATGCCTTACTTATATGTACATTCATCCTTGCTGATCACTACTGTCGTGTTGCCCTTGTCTGTAGGTAAAATTAGGATGTCTTTATGTTGTTTTATTTCCGACAGTGCCATCCTTTCAGCTTTGGTTAAGTTGGACTTGTGAGTTTCTGCTGTGATTTTAAGGCGTTGGTGGTGAGCCTTCTGACCTCGTTAGCCATTTCTGGCTGATGATTTCTTCTGTTAGAATAGTTCTTGGAGCAATGACAAAGTTATGTCCTTTGGATAGGACGGAGAGCGTATCAGAGGATAAGGGAAGGTTAATGAGGTTTTTAACTGTGTCCTTCAGTGACTTTAGTTTTAGGCTTCAACAGCTTGTTGAATTTCTCTTTTTGTTTTTGAGTGCGGAGACACACCAATATCAGTGTGTCTTCGACCCCGTGATGAAGTTAGCTGCAATGCTTGCGAAACGTTGGGAAAACAATTCCAGAAGGACACGGCTTACACGCGAAAGCCTCAACAGCGAGAACTGTTATTTTCAAGGGTGTATTTTAATTTAATTGTAACCGAGTTTTCAAGTTATTCTCTTAAATTTATTCTCTATCTTTTTCCATGAACATGGAAAATTAACTGCAATTAAAAATTGTAATGTTAACAATGTACATTATATCCTACTGATCGCGAGGATAAAAAGTCTGAAAGGAACCATGAGTCGCAGCTCAACCGTTTTCTTGAAAAATGATGAAGTTTCATTTATCCTCAAACTGCTTTTATTTGTAATATATTGAATCTCGCCGTCATATACAACTCAGATATCATGCTATTGGCGTAGCAGCAGGGATGTTTCATCTTTTATTCGAAGGCTTCGAAGGCTGAGCATTTAAAAAAGTGAAACAATGTTATGCAATGACTCGTCAAGAAATGTGTTGTAGCTTGCTACATTTTCATAAAAGATGAAACATCCCTGCTGCTATGCCAATAGCATGGCATCTGAGTTGTATATGACTGCGAGATTCAATATATTACAAATAAAAGCAATTTGAGGCTGTATAAAACTTCAACATCATTTTTCAAGAGAACGGTTGAGCACCATGGAGGCACAAACGGGGCTGGTCAGAGCGTCGTCCACATACATTGTCGCACTTTAAACGCCGAGTGTTGATCCCAAGTCGTTGACGCTCGGTGTTCGACGGCACGAATGACCGCGCTGCTTAAAGTTATTCGGAGTTTTATTCGAAACCTTGGAATAAAAAATATAGTTAAAGATGAAAACTCTCTGTTGCTGCACCAATACTATGACATCTGAGTTGTATCTGACTGCGAGATTCAATATATTACAAATAAAAGCAGTTTCAAAATGAATGAAACTTCAACATCATTTTTCAAGAAAACGGTTGAGTTTCGATCCATAATTCCTTTCAGACTTTTTATCCTCGCGACAAGTAGAATGTAATGATCCGGATACAGGATTACCTGTATCTCCACCAAATCGAAGGTGTAGAATCCGGTTATGGTAGCTGCGACATGTAATTTTTATTACTTCAATAGAATAATAAACACATTATCACTTATAGTATACCTTTGCTATCATTAGTACTAGAAAAATTAATTAAAACATACATATACATATTCACCTATTTCAAAAATGTGTAGCTCACTAACTTGGCAAAAATGAGTTGAATACGAATCACTTTAACAATCACATTGCTATAGAAACTGTGCGTACTGCGTAAATTTGAGAGTGATTCATTAATATTTCCAATACTATACACGGTAGAGATTGAATAGAACTTAGCTAAAGCATCTGTTCATTGTATTCCGTTTCTACTTACTACCATGACGATTACACGTATTTGAGATTAATGTTCAGATTCGAGTTTCTCAAAAACGGAGCCTCAAACGAAGAAAATTCATCTTTTCTTTCCACGTATTTTTTCGTAGATTCGCCACCCGTCCGGCTGTACCATGATTTTGCGGACACCCTATATAGTGATCGATAGTAATCACTATTTGTCGGCCTCACTTACAATTGGACTGACCTTATTAGAACAAAATCACATTATAAACTTATCTTGTTATACAGAAACTAGTTGAAGTAAGACTAATACCGACACAAAATGATCATAAACATCTAAATATCAGGACAAACACAATAAATATCTTGGTCAAAATAAGTTGGATACGTATCATGTTCTCAATCATATTCCTATAAAAATTGTGCTTACCGCATAAATTTGACAGTGATTCAATGAATATTAAATTAAATTAAATATTTCCAGTACTATACAGAGTGCCTCCAAAATCAGGACAAACATAATAAATATTTATATACAACCTTTTTCGATCTCACACTCAGATATTTCGAAACGCACCCTACAATTTATCAGCTCTCTATTATTCTCCACCCTCGACGAAAACGTTCCAGGAGGAAGCTAGATTCGGCCAAACAGAAATTACAAAAAGTCGCACACATAAGTGATCGTCTACGAAACGCTGAACTGTAACGTTTAACAGGCGAAAACGGCGGTCCTCGTATCATCGGTTGGAGAGTATCCAGTTTGAGGTAAAAGTGCGAACGCTACAAAGGGAAGACATCGTTTCGTGCGAAACTCGATGCGACCTAAATTTTCACGGATAACATGTTGTTTTTTTTTCGTGCCTTCCGGTCGATGTTGGGGCTGACGAAATAAAAACAATGAACATGAGGTGGAGGTGGATGAGACAGAAAAATTCCTAGATTTTTATCAGACCGTATTATTGATTCCGCGAGAACGAGCTTCACAGAGTTTGGAGACGGACAACGTAAGCCCGCATCGGCCCGTTCTCTCCCTTTGACAACGATTCGAGTTTGAGAGCCACACGAGAAAATCAACGACGAAGCGGATCAAAAGACTGGAACGAAAGAACCGGACTGTATTTGATCGTCGTTTGAATTAAAGATGACCGCCGGGCTGGTACGACGCGGTTCGTTAAAACGCACCACACGTTCCGACTCATCGTAATCTTTCGCCTGGAGCGGGTTAATGTGGCTAATCAATACTTCCGCAAACACGGCAGTTTGTCATTTAATGCTTACGTGGGAACTTTGGTAACCCGAAAATTCCGATTTTATTTTGAAACTTTACTATATCGAGCAAGTCTCTTTTAGTCCTTTACGGTGAAAACATCCCTTAAAGTTTAATTGCGCTTTCCTATTTGCCTGTATATTTTGAAAATCGTAGGACATATAAAAAAATTGTTCTAATAAAACTGTAATAGTTTCTTTTGCTTTATTAAGTGCAGTACACCGAATCGAATTCTGTGCAGTAAAATTATTGAAAAATTGGTTTCTTAGTTATTTGTTTATTTAAATAAAAATATTTTAACAATTTAATTTTACAATTTCATAGAGCATAAATAGCCATTCCTTTTCATTCGAATGATTTTTATTATATTTGCTATAGTTTTCAGGATATACAAGATAATAAGAAACGAAGAGAGACGTTTTCAACCTGCGGAACCCAAAATTCGTTAAAAGAAAATTGCCTGATAGTTCTATAGAGGTCACCTACAATCCAGTAAAGTTTATAAGAAAATGGAATTTCCCAGTTACCCAAATCCCCTTGTTAGTTAAGGCGGTTCGGTATTAACGTGTAACACACAGTACGAACGGGTAGAAGTCTATTTTGTGAACTCATGACAGTTTATAAATCGATGCGCAATGAAATACAATTTCTACTGTTGCGTCCACGTTGACGATACGATTTTGAATGACTCCATTTGCGTCACATCTGCAAAACCACTGCTATTCTGGCCTGAATAGGTCTAATTTATGACACCCTCAAATTTATCTTGCTCTCCCTTTCTAAGTTGTACGTTGACGACCGCTAAGGGACCATTAGAAAGCGCTTGAAAAAACGTTCGGAGTCCCATATTTTCTTACGAACACTTTCGTGGTTAATATGCTTATAAATGACGAAGTTGTTCAGTTGCAGGTTTTAATACTTCTTGTTAGTGGACAACGTTTAATATTCAACAGAGCCTCTTAGTGTATAAAATTTGATGTGAACTTCGTTTTATTATTCCTTTTTAGCATGCCATAATAGTAAATACCAAGGACATTTTCTATTTTTACGGTAATGGAATTGCTTATAATCCGCAAATTAAGTAAATAAATTGAATTTATTCTACACAAACGAAAATTGTTTACGGAAATCTTGTTCGTGTTCTTTATTTATCGTTCCCTACGATTCTGTACTGTTTCACTGATCTGTCTGACTATTAGTCCTTACATCTACATATAAATATTAATATTTTGCATCGTACCTACTATCAGTACTATCATCTAATTATTACTTGCACTTCTTTTTTACAAAAGACAACGTAGTTAAGAATAACCTGTAGGCATTCTTCAGAATTCCTCCTAACACAATTTGACTAAATTCATTTATCTCAAAAGTCTAGACACCATTTCCACATAATTAAAGGAAAATCGATTATCGCACGAAATAATCGCTTCCATCGATTATTGAATCGATTCTCCATTAATTGTGGGAAATTCTTTAATCTCCCTCACCTTTGAAATTACTAGCGTTTGTATTATAGAAGCTTACTAAGACCTTCGCGATGACTGGATGCTATGACGATCAGCTAGTTTCGTGAGTAACTTTCTCCAGTGGCCGGCCATTTCTGTCAAGAATTAACATTATTTAATTTTTTACTAGATATATAAGCAACAAAAGTCAACAACTTTGAATATTTGAAAAGTACCAGGTAACATTTACATCACTGCAATCATCAGCCACTAACAGTTGACACTCACATGACGCCATTGTATTGTCATCGGTCATCATAGTATTAACCCTGCTGTTCTCCCTTCTATTCTTCCCGTTTGTATTCCTTCGAATAAAGTTATTTCAAATTTTGAAATGATTTGTTCGAAAGAAGTGAGAAATACAGAAAAAGTAGACGTAAAATTTAAGTACGTTGGATGCTAAAAAGAGATATTTCAAAACATTTAATACCTATTGAAATATAATCTTCATTTTGGGTTGTATAAACCCAAGGAGAACAGAAGGTTTAAGTAAATCATTGTTCTGTAGTGAAGCTTCGCTACTACTCTTGCGCATCATATGTTGCATGAAAGCATAAATAGA